TTTTTGCTGTCCCCCCCGGATTTTGCTTAACCATACTGTCCTTCTTAAGTCAGTCTCTCTGGTTTATTTTGTTCAATTTTTTTCTAGGAAGGCTAATAATCTAGAAAAATAGAAAGCTTAATGTTGTCAAAAATCGTATGGTTTTAGAAATTTGATTTTCGGCTTTGTTAAGATGGTATTAACAGTAAAAAAATGGGTGACGTCACAGGTTATGACGTAACAAAACTAATTCTAACGCAATAACACTAGAGGGATAATTTTTTATTCCGATTTTCTTCTTTATTTTTGCATTAGTCATCTGGCACATCACATATGCATCATAGCTGCATTTGCTGGAACAAAATTACGGCTCCAATTTGGGGAGTTTTCTCAAGGGGGACGCCATGTTTTGCAGAGTTATTTTTCATGATTAAAATTGCCATATTTCATTTAATTTTTGTGATATGGACAAAATTTTTTTAGGTTTCAACACCCCTTGATGTGCTCTTTCGAACACAATGTAAAAAAATATGCATATTAAAAACTTCAAAAGTGGCAAAAAACATGACGTCATCACTGTGACGTAACAACTTTGACATTTACTGACATTTTTCACGTAAATATAATTGGCAATAGGTCTCCTGCTCATCTGCCAAGTTTGGTGTAGAAAGAGTCAATACTTTTTAAGTAATGTGAAATAATGTGAAATACCCAAGAACTGACGAAACATTTGGGGGGTGGTTTGGCCCCTACGTGTTTAGCGATGTTTAATGGCGATTTTAGGCAAAACAACAACGGCAACAAAGCAGGAACGTTGAGCGCAAAACATCAAAAACAAAAAGTATCCAGTGCTCAAGGAAATATTTCATGTCATATCACATCACATCGCATCACGTCACGTCACATCACGTCACATCACGTCACGTCACATCGCATCACATCACATCACATCATATCATATCATTTCGCATATCTCATATTTCGAGATTTACTTTCCACAGGTTTGTAACATTGCTATAACTAGCTGGACTACCAATCAGTCTAGTTGTAGTCGTTTCCTTGCCACGTGTTTGTTTGAGTAGCTATGCATAAGACCATGCTACGTTTTATAGGTTGTGATTTTGACTATGGATTGTGCTTTGGCTGGTCACAAAATTATTACGACGACTTTGACTGGACCAAGGAGTACGGTTCGACACCTTCGTATGAAACAGGACCTTCCTCTGATCACAGCGGATACGGTTAGTAACTTATTTTGCTTAATTAAAAGCCTCTCATATTTAAGGAGGATACGGGACCCAAGGGAACAGTATGTATTAATATTCAGGTGTATTACAATTTCAAGGTCATTCTATTAGACTAGTAGATATATTTAGCACTGCGCTTAACTGTTAATATTCCACCGGACAATAACTACTTATTAATATATTTTTCATTGACTAATCTTAACTTGTTTTGTTTGTAGGAAGTTACATGTATATCGAAACATCTTCTCCTCGACAATATGGGGAAAACGCCAAACTGGAATTTTCAGTGTCGAGCTCTGACATTGGGAAGTTGTCCTGCCTGAGGTTTTACTACCACATGTACGGGGAAACAATAAACAGGCTCAATGTCTACAATGGTTATACCAAAGTGTTTACTGAATCAGGAAACCAAGGAAATGTATGGTTGTCTGCGAAAATTACCATTACTTTACAAAGCAAAGTAAGCTCTAATTATTCTATCTAAGGGTATCTTTTCGGTCTGGAATACCACTGCGTATGATTTGTTAATCACGGTCATCTTGTGCCATAGGAAGAAAACCAAACTTACACATTTCGTTCGGTTTTCTTTTCATCAAAATAAATTTTTCCGGGGAACAACTTAAACGTTAACTCCTTAAATACAATTGTATTTAACACAAAGCTAGAAACATTCTTTGCTTGAAGCTTTTCGAAGGCTCAAAGACTTTTTATATTGGATTGTATTTAATCTCAGAGACCAAGATTGAGTAATTTAAGCTATAGATCTTAGTTATGTTTCGTCATAACACGTTGTAAAAACAAATGGGATATTCTAAAACGCAATTCTGGAACAAATAAAGGAAATCGACTCTGGCATTAAATTCCCTTTTTGGCTATTTTTTTGCCAGAGTGGTAAACATTTTGGCACAATTTTGCATTAAGTGCTTAAATTTTGCCACGAGAATTGAAAATGTTAGCTGGTAAGAAATGGGTAAATAACTGAAAACTTTACCAGGACCGGAGCTTTGAAGACAGCTATGGTAAAAATGTCACGAAAAGTTAAGATTTTTGCCAAGAATCAGCTTAAAAGAGGAGTTTTCTGCAAGGAAGGCAACAAATATGGTAAAAAGTAGGCCTAAATGTTTATTTTTGGTAAAAAGGTTGTGAGAGGCAGCNAATCCGCAAGGTAAATGTTGCTTTTTTCAGCTTTTCTTGGCAGAGTTGTTGAGTGATTGAAATGGCATATTAGCCAAATATTTAGCAGAAAATACCTTATGCTTCCCCCATGTCATCAATGTAAGATGGTTGTTTGCAAACGCTCATTCTGACAGCTGATTTGAAAGCCACTCAAAATTGTAGCCTAAGATATAGTACAATTTACTGGTAGTCTATCAAAAGGGGAAATAACCGCGAAGGGATATTTTTTTCTATAAATAGAAATTCTCGTTTCTTTTGCCATAGTTGGTAGTTATACAGGAAGAAACACGTTCTAAAAGCAAATGGGATATTCTAAAACGCAATTTCTGGAACAAATAAAGGAAATCGGCTTAATTTTTTCCAGATAAAATTGAAGAAATCTGGCATTACATGCCCTTTTTGGCTATTTTTTTGCCAGTGGTAAACATTTTGGCACCATTTTGCATTAGGTGCTTAAATTTTGCCACGAGAATTGAAAAGGTTAGCTGGTAAGAAATGAGTAAATAACTGAAAACTTTACCAGGACCGGAGCTTTGAAGACAGCTTTGGTAAAAATGTCACGAAAAGTTAAGATTTTGCCAAGATCTAGTTGCAGGAATCAGCTTAAGAGAGGGGTTTTCTGCAAGGAAGGCAACAAATATGGTAAAAAGTAAGCCTAAATGTTTATTCTTGGTAAAAAGGTTGTGAGAGGCAGCTTTCTCTTGGCATAAAAGAACGCGAATTTTGTTAATTTTGCCAATTTTAAAAACGATTGGCAAATTTATCGGTAATTGAGGTAATCTCTGTCAATTTTCTTCTTCTACGAAACATTTGGCAAGGTACATGGAAATTTCCATGTACCTTTTACAAAACATAAGGCAAGGTACATGGAAATTTCCATGTACCTTTTACAGAAAATAAGGCAAGGTACATGGAAATTTTCATGTACCTTGCACGAAACACATGGCAAGGTACATGGAAATTTCCATGTACCTTGCAGCGAAACACATGGCAAGGTCCATGGAAATTTCCATGTACCTTGCACGAAACACATGGCAAGGTACATGGAAATTTCCATGTACCTCGCAACGAAACAGATGGCAAGGTACATGGAAATTTCCATGTATCTCGCAACGAAACAGATGGCAAGGTACATGGAAATTTCCATGTACCTTGCAACGAAACACATGGCAAAGTACATGGAAATTTCCATGTTCCTTATGACTACACATAGCAAAACGTATATGGAAATTTCCGTGTACCTTGTGGTACACATAAACAAGCATTTCCCCATCTGATAATCAATTGCTCAAGTAAATCTTGGAAAATATAAAATCTAACTACAGCCTGAAAATTACTGAAAAATGAAATAGTTTTAATTAATCAACAGAAAGATACATCAATTTTGAACAATAGTACTCTTCTCTCTTTGAACGAGACATGGACCTGGAAATTAAAGAAACAAAATACATCAACGCAGCTGGTTATACATACACTTACTCTAGTTCTCCAGCTCTTGAGCCTTATTTTGGTTCAAGTAACAATTAATCTAATGATCTATTCACCATCGAAATATTTTAGTTGCCATTTCAAAATGAGGTAAAGCCATCTCCTACGAAAGGTTAAAAAGACTAGCTCTGTTGGAAAAAGTTCAAATTCGCTAACAAAAAAAAAAGTCGAACTAGAAGATACCACTTTCCGGGTGCCACTTCCTTTGAATAACCTTTTGACCAGAGCTCAAGAAGCGGTATAGTCACCTTCGAAGCCGTTTGGGGCTGCGAAGGAGACTAGGAGCAGTACTAAAATATTATAGCTTTTTTTTTACGCTGTGTCTAAATGACCGGCAGCCGGTCAAGGTTTTCAAATCACTAAATGACCGGCAGTCTCATATTGTTCTCAAATTTAAGAAATAAAAGGAACCCATCCAATTCAAATTATCATATGTCGATTAAGAACTGCCAAGCGATCCAGGAGAGCTGTATAGATCGCAAGTATAACGCTTGGTTTGCGCTCGGCTCAGAGAGCGAGACCATGGTTTGTGACACAAGATTTTTTTTGGGTCGACTGCCGGTCACGGTTTTCAAATCACTAAATGACCGGCAGTCTCATATTTTTCTCAAATTTAAGGAATAAAAGGAACCCATCCAATTCAAACTATCATATGTCGATTAAGAACTGCCAAGCGATCCAAAAGAGCTGTATAGATCGTAAGTATAACGCTTGGTTAAAGCTCGGCTCGACTGCCGGTCGCGATTCCTTAAATTTGAGAAAAATATGAGACTGCCGGTCATTTAGTGATTTGAGAACCGTGACCGGCACTCAACCCCAAAAAATTCTAAGTGTCACAAACCATGGTCTCGCTCTCTGAGCCGAGCTTTAACCAAGCGTTATACTTGCGATGTATACAGCTCTTCTGGATCGCTTGGCAGTTCTTAATCGACATATGATAGTTTGAATTGGATGGGTCCCTTCGATTCCTTCAATTTGAGAAAAATATGAGACTGCCGGTCATTTAGTAATTTGAAAACCGTGACCGGCTGCCGGTCATTTAGCCACAGTGTTTTTTTAATTGATCTACAGCGCAGTGATTAATTAAATTATATCGAGTCGTACTGTTAAAATGGCCAATACACGTAGCAGAAAGATTAATTATAAAATATTATGCTTTTCGACAATATTGACCGTTGAAACTCTTTTAGGAGACCACACCGCGGCCCCAGGTAACTACAATTCGACGTTTACGGCAAACGGCAAAAAAAAATTGCCTCTTTGATTTTGTAGAGTTTTGTGGTCTTTTCTTCAAATATATCACACAAAAATAGCAAAACGACTCCCAATATTCACCTCAAATACAAATCTACATATCCTCAAATACAAATCTATAAAACGCACAAACAGCTAAGACAGACGGCCTAAGTTTCACCTTTGCCGTTCGCCGCGTAAACGCAATGCGTTATCTCACTGATGAACTAGGTCAATAATAGGTTTCAGGAGATCGGGCGCGATTCATTCCACTTACTTGCACACAGATGTTTTGCCTCCTAAACTCGGCAGTACCTTTGCATAGGTCCCATCGTAACAACCAAAATAGAGCAGACCTCCTTCCTCGAAGCTACCGCTCTATAAATCGTTCTTTGCCCTTTTGGCGGATTGCAATACGTGATTCCGTTAAACCGCAGTGACATTATCTCACTGACATTTTGGGCGTGCTATTGTTCAGGTTTCCGTAAAGGCCTAGTAATTAGGAGCAGCTTCATTCATTTACATGTGTCAGTGTGCTTTGAATAACAAGGCATATAACAATAGTTCTTATTCGAGCGCAAGTTGTGTATGTGTCAAAAATAACTTATTTTTATTTTATATTTCTCCAAAAACAGAGAAAAGCAAAACACTACACTTTAGAGAGAGTGTTATTTCGAGAAAAGTGTTGGTTTTGTTCGGATTCGCAGGGTTATAAATTAATTAGAATCAGCGGGATCCGGTTCAGCTGGATGCTTTTATAACGGCAGAAATTAACCTATCATTGCGGTTTCGGAAACGAAACTGTCGGACAAGCTGCTTTCATTTCCCCTGTGCTGTTTAACGGTCGAATTTCATCTTATCAGCTATATTTTTGAGAATCGTAGTGCTGTCCCGACTAAATATTGAAATGGTTTATTAGTATGGCGAAACAAACGTATTCTTGCGGTGAAAGTAGACGTGAGCTGGTAGCCTTATAAGCTGTAAGGAAGCAGGT